AAGCAATTCTACCCTTCCAGGCATTGCAATCTGGATCTTCCTGATCCTGCAGTTCCTTTTCTACCCACTGCTTGCCGCCTACGTTGAACGTCAAATTCATGGAGTCGGCTCTGAGAGTCGTAAAATCTACAAGGGTGACGGTGTCCGGCCACAAGAAGCTATAGTCATTGACGGCTTGACCAAAGTTTATCGCCCGAGCTTTCTTCGACGGCTGTTCTCTTTCATATCTGAGCCTCGTGCTCCTACAGTGGCCATTGATCGTCTTAATCTGACGGCAAAGAGGGGCCAGATCCTAGCACTTCTCGGTGCCAATGGAAGTGGAAAGAGCACGACTCTCGATGCCATCGCTGGGATCAGCCGGTTCAACCATGGCGGTGTCTCTATAGATGCCTCTGGTGGGATTGGTATCGTGCCCCAGAAGAACGTTCTTTGGGATGAGCTCACCGTGGCCGAACACATCACGATCTTTAATCAGCTCAAGTCTCCGTGGAGCCTTGCGAGCAAGGAGGACTCCAAGCACTTGATCGACTCGATTGGCCTATTGACAAAGCGAAAGTCCCAATCACGACATCTGTCTGGCGGACAAAAGCGCAAACTCCAGCTTGGCATGATGCTGACTGGTGGAAGTGCCGTCTGTTGCATTGATGAAGTGTCTTCTGGTATTGACGCGCTCTCAAGACGGAAGATCTGGGACATCCTTCTTTCGGAACGTGGCAAAAGGACCATCATTCTGACGACGCATTTCCTCGACGAAGCCGACTTACTTGCCGATAACATTGCGATACTATCTAAGGGCAGCCTGAAGGCCGAAGGCTCGTCTGTAGCCCTGAAGAACGCTCTCGGAGACGGCTACCGTATCCATGTCCTCAATGCAAAGGATTTGAGAGCTCCTCCAGAAATAAACGGCGCTACATTAGCTGTGGCATCAAATACCATCATCTACACTGCTCCCTCATCAAGCATCGCCGCCGATGTAATCCGTCACCTTGAGACTCTAAGCATTTCCTACCGCATCTCCAGTCCAAATATTGAAGATGTGTTCCTCAATGTGGCCGATGAGGTGCAAGGGGAGGGTCTTCAACCCCTTAGTCAGGGTAGAGCCCATGGGTCAGTCGACTCTGGCAAAGGCCTCACAGAAAAGTCTATTGTTAGTGGTGGACAAGACTCGTTGGGACTTCAATCTGGCCGTCAGACGGGAATCTTTGAGCAAATCCCTACTCTGATTCGCAAACGCTTCACGTTACTCAAGACCAACTGGGTTCCATACGCCATCGTATTTCTTGTTCCGATCGTTGCAGCAGCAATTATGCAGCTCCTTATCGCCGACGAGAGCCCTGCTAGCTGCGATGTGGCAGACTTTAGTCAAGCTTCTGCAGAAGGCTTCGATGACTACAGAAAGGCCTTTGACCGAGCTCTTATCGCTGCTGGTCCTTCTTCCTCTTTCTCTAGCTCATCATTTGGCGACCTTTTTGGCTTCTTGCTTCCGGGACCCAATAGCTCCACGAATACCGAACTTGCGCAAAGTGCCACCTACGCCGACCTAACGCGATACATGGAAGGCCATCGCAAGAATGTCACTCCAGGTGGGCTTTGGGTCGGCAGCCCAGACACACTCTCAACAGTTGCCTACCGAGCAGATAATGAGGGAACAGGGACAGTCCTCTCAGCGGTCATCATGCAGAACCTGCTCAGTATCGTCAAGACAAATATCAGCATTGCGACCACATACACCCCATTTGACAGCGTCATCCCCTCTTCGACCTCATCCACAGTTCAGTTGGCCATATTTTTCAGCATCGTCTGCTCGATTATTCCGTCGTTCTTTGGACTGTATCCCAACGCTGAGAGACACAGCCACGCTCGTGGCTTGCAGTACTCCAGCGGAGTGCGGTCGCTATCTACATGGACGTCGCACCTCATCTTCGACTTCGGGGTCTTCTTTCTCCCTCTCCTGGTTGCAGCTATCATATTGGTCGTCTCCTCAGACATCTGGTACGCCCCTGGCTACCTGTTTCCAGTGTTCTTGTTGTACGGCATCGCCTCGATTCTGCTGTCTTATGTTGTTTCACTGTTCACCAACAGCCAAGTTGCGACTTTTGCTGCAATAATGGCCTACAATAGTGTCGGTTTTGCGATCTATTTGATCGCCTTTCTCTACATCGTCACCTTTTCGCCGTCCATTGTCACAGATCGCAACATTCTGATAGGACATTACACTATCTCGGCCTTCTTTCCCGTCACATCCGTCTTCCGAGCCCTTCTCATTGGTCTCAATACCTTCTCATTGGCATGTTCCGCTACCGGTCTTGGATATCCAGGCGCGACCAAGGCGTATGGAGGTCCAATCCTCTACCTCGTCCTGCAGGCGATACTGCTGTTTGGCATTCTTCTCTACCACGACAGTGGGAACAAGCTACCTGCGATATTCAAGCGCAGCAGGAACTCCAGCGACGGAGCTGAAAAAGCACACGAAGACCCAGAGATTGCCAGCGAGCTATTCCGGGTCGAGTCGACTACGAACAGCGACGGGCTTCAGGTCAAACATCTGACGAAGAAGTTCGGTAGCTTCACTGCTGTTGACAATGTCTCATTCGGTGTTCGCCAGGGAGAAGTCTTCGCGCTTCTCGGTCCCAACGGTGCCGGAAAATCGACGACCATCTCACTGATCCGGGGTGATATCCAACCGAGCCGTAATGGCGGCGATGTTTTCGTCGAGCAAGTCTCCGTCACCGACCAGAGAGCACGAGCCAGGGCAAATCTCGGAGTGTGTCCACAGTTCGACGCGGTCGAGCCCATGACTGTCATTGAACATCTCCGGCATTACGCCAGGCTGCGTGGAGTTGGCGATGTTGAGGAGCAAGTTCAAGCCGTTGTGCGTGCCGTCGGCCTCGATGCCCATGCCAATGTCATGGCGCAAAACTTATCAGGGGGCAACAAGCGTAAACTCTCCCTCGGGATCTCCCTCACAGGGAACCCGTCGGTGATACTGCTTGACGAGCCATCTTCAGGCCTCGATGCTGCTGCGAAGCGCATCATGTGGCGAACACTCAGCACAATTGTGCCAGGTCGTTCTATACTTTTGACAACCCACAGCATGGAAGAGGCTGATGCACTTGCTAACCGAGCTGGCATTATCGCACAACGCATGTTAGCCATAGGTGAAGTTGAGAAGCTTCAAAGCCGCTTCGGAGACTCACTATATGTTCATCTGGTCAGCCGCACTGCTCCACACTCGAAATCGGAAGAGATGGATCGCATGCGAGACTGGGTTCTACAGCAATTTCCCCCAGCCCAAGTGGAGTCTCAAACATTTCACGGCCAGTTACGGTTCTCAGTCACGGCATCAGATGTGCTGCAAAGATCTCGGCTGGGCCAACAGAGCAGAAGAGAGATGCAGAGTAGGGAGAACTGCCAGTTAAGTGCAATCGGTCAACTTATCGTGATGTTAGAGGAGAACAAGGATATCTTGGGCATCGAGCATCAAAGTGTCAGTCCCACGACGTTGAACGACGTCTTCCTTTCCATCGTTGGTCAGCATAATGTGCAAGAAGAGGGTTACGGAACAACTGCTACTGAGAATGGAAAGAAGAAGATCAATTGGCGAAAGATCTTCCTTGGATTTTAGCCGCCGCTTGCTATGCAATGCTATCATTGCTGCCTTGTAAGACTAGAGATGATTTGAATGGCCCGGAGAGCTGTTAAATCTAGACTTTATAAGTCCCTTATCGTAGTGTTTCCCCCACATTCGTTTCAACGTACTAGGATGGTATGATGTTGTGACCCCTCCAAACCACGGAACAATCATTCAGAGGTCGAAGCACAGCGCATAGTAATATTGGATACCTGATTACTCAGGTAACTGACTACTTTCTGGCACATGGAGAAATCTCCTTGATAGGAAATGCACTTGTACAACCATGAGGTCTACCCAAGTCAGGTTATACACAGCCTGGCCCTTTCTGCCGAGCGTCTAACTTGTGGTTGGGACTAAAAAGAAGCAAGTCAATGGTTCGAGTGGGCTCCTCGAGTAAGTAGATGAAGGTATCAATAGACAGACTTCTCTTCATCGAGAATGGAGGCTATCGCAGTCCTACTAGTATTACCTCAACCATTATAGTGATTAGCGTCCTCGTCAATCACCACTTCCTCATATGCATCTTGGCGAGCTCCACTTCAAAGTTGAAGTGGCTACGATGGAGCCGATCTGCCTTACAACATGTCAAGCCATGTCAAAACCCTCAAGATTCTATAGCTCACGAAGTCGCGGACGAAGTTCTCCGGCCGGTTGCCACAAACAAACAGATTGGGCCCGTTGTGGGATTTCCTGAAAAGACTAGAGTTACTGAGGAGACTCTTTGAAGGCTCTTTACCCCACCTGGCTTAGTTACATCTTTTTGACGTCAAGATGCTTGCCTGAACGCAGGGGAATGAGACTGATCATGAGCCCGCTTTAAGAAATATGGGTAGGGCAAGCTGATGCTCATTGATCAAGTTATTGGTGACTCCTGCATGCAAAGTGGAGCGTCTGATCTGTTGGTTGGACAGGTCCGATGGCCTGCAGAGACTGTCAAGATTGATACTCTACTTGAGAAGGCGAGTTGACCCCTGACCGAGAACTAATTAAAGTGAGCCTGGACTTCAGCTGAGAAGACGATCACCCGAATGACCCGCTAGATAAACTACATGTTCTGACCGACCGAGCAAAGCCCACATTGACTCAAGGGACACATGTATCAGAGCATTTCAATGACGAATTATTATCCATCCGGACTAACATGTCCGCTCTTGATCTCCACAATTTGTGCTGGTGAGGTCACATAACTGTGGGTAACTATGTCAATCATAGGCCATCAAAAACACACTGCCGGAGGTTTTGCGACGGAAGGCGACCTTGCTCTTAAGTACAAAACATGCAGTTCAGTAACTGAGTTCAAAGTTTCGAAGAATAGGCCAGAGTCATTCATCTACCTACAGGCTACCGCAACTGTGCAACGTCTGAAATGCACATAGATACCGACGTCGACAACGGCGGTCACCGAGAACCCGGCGCCGCAGCGCAAGCCTCCCGAGACGACCAGTCAAACAGCGTGCTGAATAGCCTCGATACTCAAAGGGCAGACCTTGTCGGGAATTGGATGAAAAGTCGCTTACCTGAGCACGAAAACCTTCCATCGCAATCAGTCAGCTGGTGGGACCCAGGGTTGGCAGCAGTAAGTGCAGCCCAACATAGGCTCAGCCTCGAAAACCTTCACAGTGCCTAATGGAATTTACCTTGTGCTTGCTTAGTTACGAAAGCATATCTCTATGATGTGGTGCAGAAACAGTAAGTCTCATCCGCGCTCTACGCGCTCACTTGCAGCCACAGCTCACCATCTTCAGCTTTCATCATCTGTTTCTCGATGTTCCTCATCCTCTGCCTTTATTGGGGCATTGTGTTTCGCATCGAGGAAAACCTCACCTCTCTCCTCTGTTTTGTTGTCGATTTTGATGGCAAATCTACTCTCTACAACGGTATCACGCCTTTAGTAGGTCCGACGGTCACAAAATTGGCGAACGAGACGCTGTGGAGCCCCATACCATCAATCGGATATCAAATACGCGATGCAAACGAGTTCGAATTCGACCCCATGAAGGTTCGCGAAGCGGTCTATCACTTCAAGGCCTGGTCAGCAATCATCATAAATCCAAACGCAACAGCTTTATTGCAAGAGGCAGTCTCGATCGGAAACTCTTCCTACGATCCAACAGGCGCAATTCAAATCATCACCATGTCTGGCCGAGATTCATTTATGACATATAGCTACATCTTGCCAAGCCTCACGTCCTTCACGTCAAGTTTGACAGAAACATTCGGCAAAACATGGGGCGGCATGGTAATGGCCAATGACTCCCTGACAAAGGAGACTCTTCGGCAGGCCGCGAGTGCCGTCAACCCCGGGGTGTCACCTTTGATGTTAGATCTGCGGCCGTTCGGCCGCCTGCGGCAATCCCGGCAGTTACCTTTGGGTTAAGCTTTCTTATCGCCCATCTCGGTTTCACCTACTACCTTGCAGACGACATGGTAAGTCCGAGCTTCTGATGCTTTGATACAAAACTGATAACGAGGTTGGTATGTAGAAATGCATTGTGCCTGAGGGTCATCCTCCCGTGCACTACTGGCACTACGTCATACGCAGATATTTATCACTCATGGCAGCCTACTTCTTCTTATCGCTGGTCTACTGTTTGATATCGCTTGTCTTCCAAGTTCCCTTATCCAATCCGCCAGCTTCGGCAGTGGAGGTCGCTAAGAATCCGAACGCTTATGGGAAAGCCTCGTTCATCGTCTTCTGGCTGTTGAACTTCTTCGGCATGGCAGCACTCGGAATGGCCTGTGAGAACATGGCCATGATTATCGGCCCTCGATGGGTTGGTTTGTGGTTAACGTTTTGGACTCTCACGAACACGTTGACCGGATTCTGGCCTCCCGATATTGCCCCAGGGTTTTACCGGTGGGCGTATGCATGGCCTTATCATCATGTGATTGAAGGCAGCCGACAGATTTTGTTCGACTTGCAATCGCGCGTTGGCCTCAACTTTGGCGTTTTGATTGCGTGGGTGTCGGTTAACACGATTTTGTTCGTCCCCGCATGTTACATCTTGAGGTGGAAAGATGAAAAAGAGATACGTCGAAAGGAGACAAAACTTCCACACTTTCACTTGCACAGGTATGATTTCGAGAAGCAAATTCCCAAGCAACCGGGAGTTGAGCCGCCAAGACGGAAAAGGGGATTTCTTCGGGCTTTGTGAGGGTGTCGCGAGTTGACTAAATAGTTGATAGCTCTTGGAACATGGCATGTAACAATGTGCTGCAAGATGGCACACTTGAGTAACGCTGTGACTGCAAAACTCTCAATACAAGAGACGTAGCAAACGCGGGTGTCGTAGTGAAGACGTGTCATAGCATAGCAAGGCGGATTATGGCATAACTCCTTACGCGACCACAAGCCCATGGGTCATCTTCAGGACCCTTCGCTGAACTTACGTTTAGATGCAAGTGATAGCCGTTGATTTTGACCATGCAGCTGTATCCGATTATGGAACCGATGATAGGATTGACTCTCTCGGGACGCGTTTCACTCGAAGCATCCCTCGCGGAACACTAATTATTGGCCGTGCGAAAACATCTGACGACCCCATTCCACCACCCAGGTCGCCTCTCGTTCGCCTTGGCAACAAATAAGTATGAGATCACATGAACGCCATAGTGTACACCGTCTGTACATAATCATTGGTGATCCTGGGGGTCTTTGGTTCTGATTCGCTATCGAAGTTAGAGTTGAAGGTGGCATCGGAGCTGCGTGAGTGCGGCGTGGATATGCTGGCAACCATGATCTAGGTGGTATTCGTAATCACCCCTCTCGGAATTCTGGCGCTCATGCTTGCATGCCTAGAAGCAGCCTGCAGTTACACGACATACTTCAATAACCTGACTTCATCATTGTGCTCTGTCATCCTGTAACGGCTTTGACGTCAAAGTAGTGAAACCCGTTGTCAGCAACTCGGTTCCGAAGAGTCCGGATGAAAACCAACTGTCCCAAGCGTTTGATGAAAACATAGACTGTAACAGGTAACATACCAACTCGCAAAGGGTAACCAGATTTCCTTTCCGGCTTGCGACGTGGGGAAAGGCCTTTTGCCTCGAAATTCAGATGGTCGAGTGAAGTTAGTGTAGACCCAAGGTTGGGAAAGCGGTCCCACTGGGCGGGCGTGGCAGACTCCAAACCATATTCAGCACAAACCCCAGCGAAATGCCAACCCTCAGTTCCACGGCCGCCCACCTCAATGCGACTCAATCTGTGTTGAACTGTGGGAAAAGACTAAAATCCCAAGAAATCCAAGTGTTCTTCCTCCCGTACCCCGCATTCTTGGGCCGAACGTGCCACCCTTGACGGGCACCTGGGTCAGGGTCATTGGACGAAGGCCACCCGGGACAGGGCTGGGCTTTAATGCAGAAGACATCTGCCGAAGAAAGTCTGAAGGTGATAAACTGTCCGTGCCAGCTATTCAAACTTGCTTCCCGCTCCTTAGTGGCTTTGGATAGATAATAATAGGGGCCGGTCACTACCTTGACCCCTCATTGAAGCTACACTAAATGGGCTTGGCCGTTTTCAACGTCGCATCCACAAGCTGCTAGGCAAATTTTCCAGCCGTCAACGTAGTATTTTCGGAAGGTCGCGTTCAAAGGATTCCGAGCATCGTCTCGGCCCAGCTGTCAAGATGGTGCTCTCCACAATAGACGAGATACCAATCGAGTTTGATAAGAAACGTAAGCTTCCCTACCCCTCTCTGTTTGCTGGCGCAGGAGTAATTCTCAGTATTCGTGACAGAGCCAGGCCTTAACGATTGACAATGTCTAAAACAGAGTATAACGAGCCGACGACGGTCGATGTCAAGTCCGAGTCTATCCAGTATGCGGACGAACCCGTACAGTTGGAGTGGACGGAAGAGGAGGAACAGGTCATCAAGCGTAAGCTCGACTGGCACACTGTCCCACTGGTGACGACCTTGTACCTTCTCTGCGTATGTGATTTTCTCCTCCCGTCAAAAATTAGCTGGCTGTCGCACCGCCACTGACTTGCCTATCTTCGGGGTAGTTTTTGGATCGAGCGAATATCGGAAATGCCAGGATCCAGGGCATGGCCAAGGATATCAACCTTGAAGGATACCGGTTCAACTGGGCCCTGTCAATATTCTACATCATCTACCTTCTAGTCGAAGTACCGAGCAACATTATTCTTAAACGCGTCGGCCCACGATTCTACCTGCCATTCCTTGTCGTTGGGTTTGGTTTAGTCTCACTCTGCACGGCTTTCGTACGCTCATATGAAGGACTCATCGTTGCCCGCGCCTTCCTGGGAATCTTCGAAGGCGGTGCCATGCCAGGGTTCTCCTTCTTTCTGAGCAGCTTCTACAAGAGAGAAGAACTCTTGTTCCGGCTGGGAATCTTCATTTCAGCAGCGTCATTAGCTGGCGCATTCGGTGGCCTGCTTGCCACTGGTCTCTCTCGCATTCCGGAATGGGGGTTCGACAGTGCACCTATCCATACATGGAGGAACATATTCTTCTTCGAGGGATTCGTCACAATGCTCTTCGGAGGCTTCGCACCTCTCTGGATGCCCACAAGTCCCGCCACCGCTTACTTCCTTGACGAAAGACAACGAGCAATTGCGGCAGAGCGTCTGCAGCGCCAGCACAAGGCCGATGTTGATCAGAAAGTCACTCTTTCCGACGTGAAGCGAGCCGTGTTTTGCATCCATAACTATACATGCGCCTTCGGCTTTTTCCTGATCAACATCACTGTTCAGGGAATTTCGGTATTCATGCCGACCATTCTTGCCGACTTGGGCTGGACTGCGACGCGAGCGCAGCTGTACTCTGTACCGCCGTACGTTGTGGCTGCTATCACAGCCATCATCATCGCGTGGTTCAGCGACCGAACACGTCAACGCGGTATATACCTTGCCGTGTTTTCGATGATTGCTGTTATCGGTTTCGCCATTTTGCGATTTGCGACCGAGGCTAACATCAGATATATGGGCGTAAGAGCTCTCTGTCCTTTTGTCTGCCTCCTTCGTACATTCACTAATGATCCCAGGTATTTTTTGTCACAGCAGGTGCTTTCCCAGGTGGTCCAGGATTTTGTGAGTCAACTCCTTTCGTTGCAGTCTGATTCTTTTGCTAACATCGTTGCAGTGAGTTGGGCGATGAACAGTAAGTCTATGACCTTCGGTCGACCCAAAGAAGGTGAAAAAAACTGACGCACTCGATAATAGACTCAGCAGGCCCTTCCGTACGCGCAGTCACCAGTGCCTATGTTGTTTCAATCGGCACCATGGGCGGAATCGTTGCGACGTAAGTAGATGTCTCTAAGAACCTGTCAAACGGCTATGACAACACACATCAGTCTCTGGCTCTAATCAAGCAATGCCTGCACTTTCGCTGACGTTCACGATAGGTGGACCTACACGTTCAAAGACGCCCCGAAGTACTTCACTGGACACACTATCAATCTTGTGGGCCAAAGTCTAACAGTTCTGTTGGCGGTGTTCGGCATATTCTATTGCTTATATGAGAATAAAGCAAGAGCTGCTGGAAAGAGAGATCACCGCCTGGATGGACGGACAGAAGCTGAACAGAGTCAACTTGGTTACAGGCACCCGTCATTCCGCTACATGTCATAGGGTAATCAATCGAGGTAGTTTAGCGGCTGAGTGTTCAATCCAAACTCGACCCATCCAGCACAAAGTTGTGCCCTTCAAGTGGACCGTTGTGGTGCCTTCCCGATGGTACCAAAAACCCGAAGGCGTGCACAAGTGCATGTAGCTAGCCTACTTGCTGCAGTAGTTACACGTGATAGATTATGCAGGTGAGATTTATCGTCCTGATTGAGAAAACGCATCTGGTTCTTCATTTAGTTGCATATTCCCCCGCATTTAGTTTGACCAGTCCTGTTCAGCTTCAGAACGCCCCAAGTTGATGTTTACGGTAGGCTCCTATTGGCTTGAAACCAATCCTTACAGATACGATGCGGCTTCTGAACACACGAACGAAGGAACTGCGCGTTTTCACCCACTCTCGCATTCCATATGCTATCCTGTCTCATACTTGGGGCTCTGAAGAAGTCACACTTCAGGACCTGCTCGCCGGAAACGCGTCTAGTCTTGAAGGTTATACGAAACTGGATGGGGCTTGTAATCAGGCATCGTCGGATGGGTTCGACTACATAGTAAGTTGAGCCTGGCAGCCCAGTGTCCCTGACCCTGAGCTCCCGCAACAATAGCAAGGTTCCCATTAATTGACTTCGCAGTGGATCGACACTTGTTGCATCGACAAGACAAGCTCATCTGAGTTGACGGAGGCCATCAATTCCATGTGGGTCTGGTATCAAAACTCTCGTGTCTGTTATGCATACCTTGAAGACGTCACCCAGGAAGATGTTGATGTTCTCGGTGGCTACTCTAAGAGCTTC